TCCTTGGCCTGGCCAGGGATTGGGGCCAATCAGGGGCTGCCTCGCCCAGTCCGAATCAGGGCCAATCGGGGCCGGCTGGCCGGACGGAGGGACTGCGGGAGGTTGGCCGGCTGTGGGAGGTTGGCTGTGGGAGCGCACTGACCACAAGGGGGCAGCTTCTGCATTGAGTGTCTGCCCCCTGGTGGTCAGTGTGTGTCTTAGTGACCAGTCGTTCAGTCACTTAGGCTTTTATATAGAGAGAAATTTGAGAAAGACAGGAATGCTAATAGTGAACCTTTAGGCTTTATAGTCATGTTCCAAAGATTAAAATACGGATGTTTCTCAGTCAACTACTTACGGATGGCTTTCTGTAGGGTGCATAGCATTATTATTAATTAATTATTTAATATTTTTCTTAAGTCAAATCCCTGAGGTTTTTTCAGTTGTCACATTTACCACCAAGAAATGTGCTATGTTTTAATAGCATCCTCAGTTTTCCTAGAGAACTGTTGATTAACAAGCCTGCCTTCTGCCAAGGTTGATTATCACGTTCTTAAGATGTAAACTTGAATTTCAAGTTAAAGTTGGACATTACAGGGATTTCCCTGCACATTTAAAGTTGTGTTATACAAGTAATGTTAGATTAGTAGGCTTGGTCACAGGAATAATTTTTTCCTTGCAGCAAGGAAAAATTTATTTTTTCCTGTGGAAATCATTTGTTTTTAAGAATCTTGAACATAAAATGCATTGGTATTACAAATGTTCCCACAGGATTGAACAGCTATGATCTATTCTCCATTTACTTCAAATAAACATTTGCTGGTCCCTGATATATAATATCATTACTATAAGGCTTATATCTTTGCTGATTCCTTATACTAGTACATAGTCTCATCAGACTTATTGAATGCACCCACTTTTTCTCCACTTACTAGATTATTGTGATCATATCTACCATGTCATTAAGTATAGTATTGTTTTTATTTTATTTTCCTTCAGCATATTTTCATTCTGATTATTTTGTTACTAAGCAATTGCATATGTCCCAATAAGTGAATGATATGTGAGTTGTTAGAAAAATAAGAAATTTGTCAAGAAATTATATTTTAGCAAGAGAAAATTTAGAAAAAAATGAATTTTATTTTACTATGCATTTTAAAAATCATTCACATGGTTAAAAGGATGCCAATATAAATAAAAGATACCAACCGCAATGTTTATTGTCTTATTGAATATATGAAAACAGTTAAAACCTTTTCACAGCACTGACAATTGGTGGTATATAAATTATTTGAAACTTTGAATATTGGCTAAGAACAAAGGTAATATATTATGCTCCAAATGATAAAAGATATTTTACTAACAAAAACCTATAAAGATATTGCTATATAAGCTGAATTAGAGGTCAAATTTATAGTTCTATCAATTATTATCACTGTAATACTTATTTTCTAATAATAGGCAGGAATAAAGATGGTCTATTGAAATGAAAATAACATACAGGCTTTCAGCAAACAGCATAGTAAAAACACATTCAAAGCAGGCTGTCAACTTATGTTTTTATTTGTTCTTTCTCTTGTGAGAGAAAACAGCTTATTATCCTATATAATAAAAGGGTAATATGCAAATTAACCCTAACAGCAAAACGTCCTGGAATGACCTGGAATGACCAGTCGCTATGATGTGCACTGACCACCAGGGCCCAGACGCTCAATGCAAGAGCTGCCCTCTGGTGGTCAGTATACTTCCACAGGGGGAGCACTGCTCAGCCAGAAGCTGGCTCATGACTGGCCAGCACAGTGGCAGTGGCCAGAGCCTCTCCCGCCTCCACAGCAGCACTAAGGATGTCTGACTAACAGCTTAGGCCCCATCCCCTGGGGAGTGGGCCTAAGCCAGCAGGTGGACAACCCCCAAGGGTTCCGAACTGCGAGAGGATGCAGGCTGGACTGAGGGACGCCCCCCCAAGTGCATGAATTTTCATGCACTAGGCCTCTACTAAATTATAAAGAACAGCCTAAAACAGTGTGTGTTTTTTAAAATATATATATTTAAGATTTTTTTTCTTCTGTAGAAGTTGGAAATTAAATATTTTCCATTTATTTATGCTACAATAAAGAATAAATAATGCCCTAGCTGGTTTGGCTCAGTGGAAATAGAGTCTCCTGTGACTGAAAGGTCCCAGGTTCCGTTCTTGTCAAGGGCACATGCCAGGGTTTCAGGCTCGATCCCCCGTAGGAGGTATGCAGTAGGCAGCCAATCAATGATTCTCTCTCATCATTGATGCTTCTATCTCTCTCTTTTCCTCTCCCTTCCTCTCTGAAATCAATAAAAATATGTTTTTTAAAAAAGAATTTAAAAAGATTAATATTGAAATGGGAATTATGTTTGCGATAGAATTTTTTTTACTTCCCTAAGATAATTCCATTAGATATGTTCAGAGCAACTCCATGGGAAATACTGCATAAAATTTCCTTCAGATAGGATTTGACCATATATATGGACAGTCACTGTGTGAGATTTAGTAAAGAAAATCCCTCTGAGGAAATAAATACTTTAAGCCATGTGTCATTTCACATGTTCTAATATTATCGGCTTTCTGAATTATAGAGAGTTCTGTCTCCACATCTCCCACCACTGCCCAAGTGTTCTGTAGGCCTCATCATATCTGGAAATTCTCTCACTGTCAAGATCCCAATATCACAAGCTCCATTTTCTGGTGATAAATCTTTCCTCCCCTATCTCATATTTCTAAACCCCTATTGATCTTGGTCATCAATTCATTATCAATTATCATTCTTTGACCTTGTGCTATTTTACAGCCCAGCAGCGCTTTTCTGGCTTCATTTGTTCCTACCCAATAAGAAAAATAATGGCCAGATATTTGAAGGGCATACTTTTTGCTACTTTAGAATGCCACATCCTTATGACTCTGCCATTCCTGCCTGGCACATCCTCAGTTCGAAGTCTCTGACTGACTTCTGCCTCTGTTCCTACCAGGTGGAATGCTGTGAAATTATACTAACGGAGCCAATATATCGGTGGCCACGTAATTAATTTCTAAATCAGAGACACATTTCACTTTTGAGAGTGAAAGTGTCTGTTATAAAACTGGTATAAACAGCTTCCTCAGAGAAACCAGGGTGTGTCATCATCCTTAAAAGGTAGACCGTTTTCCCATCAGAATTAGCCTTGAATGGTCCTTAAAATTCTCTCTCTCTCTCTCTCTCTCTCTCTCTCTCTCTCTCTCTCTCTCTCTCTCTCTCTCTCTCTCTTTTTATCTAGTTCCCTAATAAGCATTTCCAGTGTCAGTTTTAAGTCAGAGTCTCAAGAAAGCGAATTTCTTCTTCTTCCCATCCCCAGTTCAATTCAACCAAAATCTATTACTTTCTCCTTTGATAAGAAGATTTAAACCTCACCACATAAAAATTTCTCTCTCTTAATAGTCATTTTCTTTGTCTAACTTAAAAGTCTTTTAATTCTTACTCAAAATTGTATTTATACTACTCAAAATTGTATTTATACTACTTCATTGACTTGCTTTTGGGGGGAGAAAGGGTAGAGACTGGGGCCATCAGAATGTCTTGGCTTTCCTCTGATTACTGGTCACAGCCTCCCAGAATGTATGAAATAACTGTTTTCCAACTCACAAACCTAAGTCATCATCTAAAAGTTTTAGAGTAAAATTTGCTCATCCATCATGATCGACTCAAGCATGCCTTAAGTGATTGGCATCCCCCAAACCACTTTCTACAGATCCAATGGTTTTTAAATAAGTATCTGAAGTTTTCAATGTTACCTCAAAGTTAGAGAGTCCAAAGCTGAATTTATTTTTGCTATTCTGCCTACAAATTCCCAGGATCCAGCGTAAAAACCACTATGTTCCCTTATTTAGTCATAGAGGTGAAATCTTGGATTAATTGTAAATGCTCCCTTTTTTAGTATCTCCAGATAAAGTTAGTCACGAGGTCTTATAAGTTGTTCTTCCACCACCACCCTCACACATATGCCAAGTTGTGCATTATTAACTGACACTTTGTCAATTAGGCCCACATAGTATACCAGAATTGTCTGAAAGCTTAAACACTGGGAATTTGAGCTATTGACGAACTTCTGTTTCTTCTCTTGGAGACTGAAATAAGTACAGACTCCTTAGCTTTGTATTCAGGGCTTTCCTTTCTCTGGCCTCAAAACATACTCCCAGTTGTATTCTCTCACCATATTTCATACACTATCCAGATTGGATGGCATTGTTATGTCCTATGTGTTACCAGATGTTCATTTTGCTCCTCTCTCTCTAAGGACATCTCAGGTTGAAATTCCATATTCTTAAGGCCTTTATCATAGTCAATCTCTTCCATGAGATGTGGCATATTCAATTGCCAGGTTTGAAATCTTCTTTTTAAATTCCCAGTAGCGTTCTGTTCTTACTTATTTATTTTACTCTGTTTCATAAACATTATTTGCGTACTTGTTTAACCCTCCTCATAGAGTATTTTCTAAAGGAGAGAACATATGCGTTACTTATTATTTGAATACTAAAACACCATGCTTACTTATACTAGTCAATTATTAAGTACTTACTGAAATTATTATATGAATGTGACTATTTGAATATTGTAGAAATATGTGTATAACTCTAATGTAAAAATATTATTAGATTTCTGCAAATAAAGTTGTTCCCAATAATCGGGTAGCAAGTATCATTATTCCTAACAAATAGTTGAACTGGTTGCTGCATGAAGAAAGTACAGGATTTATTCATAGATACATTCTAGTCTCTGATAGAGCTGAGAGGATATACCGGATCCTTTATATTCCTCTCATCCGGCTTATGTTAAACAGAGCCCTCTATATGCATGCAAAATGCTGCAGTCATTCATTAAATAGATTCAATCTCCCATTTTCCTTAAATCATCACTGACTTGAGCTTAACTGTTTTCTCAATTTAGGCCTAAGAAAATTATGGCCAGTTATTCATTCTCTCATTAACCTAAAAGTGAACTATATTTCATTGCTTGTAGGATGGTATGGGAAATCTGAGAGTCACCAAGAAGGGAATTCGACTTGAAGGTATATCTGAGTTTCTACTTCCATTGTATGTGAAAGAAATTCATTCCCGAAAGGTATGTGATACTGGCTTTGGCTTACTGTAAAAGATAATTTAGAGGTTATGTTTTAGCTTGAACTAAGAAGATAGAATCCCCTTATCTCTTCAATATGTAATTGTTTCCTAAAGCTAAAGACTTATTTACATAAGTCAAAACAATTAAACAACTGAACAACTAGTGAAGGCTAGTTTCAAAGTAACACATTAGAAAACCATTTAGAATTAAACTATAGTGTTGTGTTTGTTAGTCTATAAAATATGCCCCTCTATTTTCAATGGAAGTTAGAAATACACACTTACAGGAATTCCAAAAGGGGCATTTGATAAATCTTGAGCAATTTTTGCTGGAAGCATTGATTTGAATAAGTGATTTTATTTCAATATATTATATATATATATTTTAATGCAGATACATTTTCTAAGAGATGACAAAGAGTCTTAGTATAGAAATTAAATTTATTTAGGAATTTATTTAAATCAAGTAAGAATATTATCCTTTTACCTGTGTGTGTGCTCTGTGTGTTTTATCACTTAGCAGAATGTTAAAACTCAAAAGGTTATAAATGAGACGTTGTTCATGTTGGTTTGTGTGTTACTTCTCAGAAGGTAGTAAGTATTCTTGGTTACCTCAAAATCTAACTAGAATCTTTCAATCTATGAGGCATTCCCTGGGATATGTATGTAGGTGTGGAAATAAATTTATTAAGACAGGAAAAATGGAAAGCATGTGACATAAAATGTGGAAAGATTGTTAAATTTATTTCATAAATGTAAAAGTATTTTTAAAACTAGAGTTATATTTAAATATTACTGATATAACATCTTAGGAAATTGGGTACATAGTAAGACATAATTTGATAATTTGTTTCAAAGCCATTTTTTTCACTTAAATGTCATAGTGACAACACAATAGAACATTCTTTTATATAAAATGTTTAATGAGGGTAATTATATTAACTTTTTTATTTTATCAATATTTTTTATTGATTCCAGAGAGGAAGGGAGAGAGAGAGAGAGAAAGAGAGAGAGAGAGAGAGAGAGAGCTAGAAACATCAATGATGAGAGAGAATCATTGATTGGCTGCCTCTTGCACACCCCACACTGGGATCAAAACCACAACCTGGGTATGTGCCCTGACCAGGAATTGAACTGGTTCAAAAGGTCGATGTTCAACCACTGAGCAACACTAGCCAGGCTTAACTTTAAATTTTATTTTGTTTTATGTGAACCTACATAGTTTCACTAATATACTATATTGACTTTGGGTACTAGAAAAATATACTGAGATTACCTTCTGCATTTTGGTCAGATAAATAACACAGTAGGCACATGTATGACTACCTAAACTTTCTAGTACATGATTAACTATAAAAATAATTAAACTTAAAAATCGATTGGTGTTTTGTTTTATTTTTATAAAAACTGAAAAATACCATGCTTACAGAGGTTAATGTCTTTCCTCTGAACGGAAGTTAGTGTTGTGTTTGGATTAAACAATTTAATCTTTGAAGAAATGAAAACTTGTACATGGAAATCAAGAAATTAACATGGGAAGGTGAGAGTCATCATAGGCAGTAAACTTATTTGAAAATTCATCCATTTTAGACCAAATTATAGTGTCTGCCTGGGAAAACAATTTAGAGAATGATAGAATTTACCTTCTCAGCTGGAACATTTTTCAGAGCCATGGGTGTAAACTAGGATTCTCCTAGGACAATTGGATGAATGTTGACTCCATCTATTGACCTAATAAGAAAGAATCCACAGATTCTCTAACATTAAAGTGTGAGGTGGTGGCCGTCAGGCTTCCTAACTTTGTCCCTGGAAAGTTTGCAACCTCAGTTCCCCAGCATTTCTAAAGCCCACTGTAGTGATCGACATCTACATGCCGCCTGTCACATCTCCAGTCCTGCTGCTTGTCCTTCCCGTGGGTCCTCTGCTCATCGTTTGCCTTTAAGTAACGGCGGAGCGAAGGGCACAGTGCAGGCCACAGCACAGGCAGGAGGCACTTCTGTCTGCAGTCAGGCACGGGGTGTGGCTTGGGAACAGAAGAAGGAGACCCATTTACTTCCTGAAAATTTCTCTACATATGCACAACCAAAAAATGTATGAAATGAAGAAAAAGCCTGGTCAGTGTGACTCAGTGGTTGAGCAACGACCCATGAACCAGAAGGTCCAGGTTTGATTCCCGATCAGGGCACATGCCTGGGTTGTGAGCTCTGTCCAGAGTAGGGAGCGTGCAGAAGGCAGCCAACCAATGATTCCCTCTCACCATTGATGTTTCCATTTGTCAGAAAATACAGTTGCCCACAGACACACACTTCTAGTCTCTCAACCTATAAACCAGGGGCTGTTCCTACTGTCTACATGCTAACTGGCGTCCCTCCCCACCTCTAAATGTCTATAGGTATTTGGAGTTCTATTATTATCTATCACAGCTTACTCTTTATTTATGCTTTGAAAAAAATCAACCTTTTCTATTGTCTGTCATATTGGTGCACAGAAAATCATATCTGCTTGAAATATCTTAGAATTCAGTGAACCTTTCAAAATTAACACATTGCTTTCAGAGAATAAGAACTCGTTGAACATTTATGAAATTAAATATATAGTTTTCTTCAATGAGAAGGAATAGTGAAGGATATGTAATTTGGGGCTACCTCAAATAAATGATTATATTCTGAATCAATCTTCAATGCACAGGTTCTAACATTAGGTCAGATGTTTTGAAATAGCAGGAAATTAGGGCATGTAATCACCAGGCTGTTTGTTTTTTCATGTAACTGGAGTCTGTTTCCCAAGATTTCATGAGTCCTCAGCACTAACTGCATTCCACTGATTCTTACCAGAAATTTGGCATCATATGCAGGTCTCTGGAACTTCAAGCATTTACCTAACTTCATCTGGCATAAGCTAACCAGCCTTCGTGTTTACTTTTTTAGTTAAGTTGTTTCCTCACCACTGCCCTCCCAGCCCAGCACCGTGCATGCGAGATTGATACTTATGCCGGGGAGCCATACCAGATAATTCCAGTTTCAATAACACCCCAGCAAAGCAAACACGTTTGTTTTCTTTATGGCTCCTGTGTCAGCGGAGCTGTGAATGAGGCGCTGCGCCCCGCTCCATGCCCACTCATTTCACCGGGCATCAGAGCTCGGATGCTAACTCCGTTCTTGGTTACAACCAGTTTCTTACCTTGTGTAATCAACCCTTTTTTATGGAGTTCAGACACAGAGCCATGGGGTCAGGCAAGCTCAGCAAAGCACATTCCTAGTTACCTAGCGTGCAAATCTCCGGACGCTGTCTTTTTTTCAGGTACCTTTCTCCCCTATAAATCTCTTTGCTGGATTCTTTCTCCCACGCAGACCAATTCATGCAAAGAGATATCTGCCGGCTTCTATAATCATTTCCTCATTGTCATTATCATCTTGCATTTAGATGTAGAATACAGGTGAAAGTGAGTATTTCACTGCAATGTCTTTATTCAAGGTAAAATAAAAATAAAAACTACAAATCATCCCAAAATCTTTACACTCAGGAAAAAACAACAACACACTGTTAATATACATTGAATATCCTCACAGTTATATGTTTATAGATCTGCACAAAAAGATAAGTATGTAGAGAGACACGGACATGCTTTTTACAATAACATAGTCATTTAGTAGAGGAAATATACTCCGAAATAAATTAAGAGGAATTACTGAACTTAAATTTTTCTTCACAACAAGAATTCTTTAAAGCTTGCCTTTATGTTCAGAATAAAAGTTTATGAGTGCCATTTAGAAGCTGGCTGCCTCAGCCCCAAGTGTCAGTGTTCATTAACTCCCCGCAGTGCAATTTGAGGCGATTAGCTCCTCTCCAATTTGTCCTCACCCTTTTTCATTTTCAGTTTTCTGGACAATTATATTATTTTAACTTTGCCAGAGTTCAGAGTAATTGCATTCTGTTCTGCAACATTAATTGCCTTGGCACTTTGATCTTAATTCTATATATAGGCGGCTGCGGTATTCACCACCAGTATTCCATTACGGCTTCTCTATGGCCCAGTTCAATATTTAAGTCATCCCTCCTTACGTGTATTTCACTGCTAATTAGGTTTGTTTGTGCGTTTGCTTGCTTGCTTGTTAACCCTTGAAATATTTCATGCTAAATATGCCTGTTTTCTTTATTTTTTTTTTTCTGGGGATATTAGTAAGGGCTCATCACTTCTTTTCCTGTTAACTCACTTCCTATGACATTCTAGCACTGAATATTGGCATAAAATGTCTGAAGGCAGCCTGATACTTGTCTCTTGTTCTGTCTGATCTGATACATTTTTGCACTTTCACTTTTTCACCTCAGGGAAATTTTCTCTATTATATCGTTCAGTATCTTTCAGATTCTTTTGTTGAGTCTTCACTTCGGAGAAAACAATAATTCGTATGTTGGGTCATCTTTGTCCTCCACAGCGGTCATAATGCATCCAGTTATTTTAAACCCTGTTATCTTCCTCTGACCACAGTAACTGCCATTATCTAGAGTCTTTCTTCCATAGCATTCACTTATTTAAAATTTTGAAAATATGAGTATTGCCCTTGCTTCCCCTCATTCATGTATTTTATATACAAGGATGCTGTTTTGATCCTCAGAACTTTCCTTAGGTCCACAGTCTCCTTTTAAATCCTGTGATATTGGTGTCTTTGAGCTATGGTTTTATTCAATTTACTTTTTTTAATCCTAAAACTTAAAGCACTTGCTTTACCTATCTTGAATTATCCATGATGAGTCACAATTTGAGGTAGAGGAATTAAGGGCTAGCTACTTTGTTTATTTTAAAGAGATTGTTGGTGAGAAGGGGAAAACAGGCTTTGACTGTTTGTTTGGTTTTTGGGGGGGTTTTTTGTTTTGTTTTTTCCCCCCATTTGAGGTGCTACAAGATGGCTTCTGCCAACCAGACATGGACTATTTTGAATCTATGAGTCTTGGTGGCCCTTTCTGCCTCTGTAGAATATTTCCAGTGGTCTAGTCAGTCCT